ATATGACAGATATTAAAAATAATTATCTTTTTAGGTATTGGCCATTATCAGGGTCATTTATAAACGTCTTACTTAAGAAACATCATATCAACTTAAATTTCTTATCTTATAATGAATTTTCAATGCATATTGTTAATTTAAAAAATCGCTTTGTATGATAAAGTTGATACTTACAATCAACAAGTGATACTGAAAAGAATATGGATATCACGAAATACTTGTACATTATTTGACTAACCCTTTCCATAGATAACCTGTATGTTTAGATATGATTAGATCGTAACACTCCTTATCTACTGTTAACGAACGTTACACTTGCTCAGTCATAGAGAGATCGTGGGCTCAAATCCCGTCTACTATTGCTCAAAGTCGATAAAAAAAAATACGTAGCAACTGTCCCTGTAAATGTAAGGAATCACGGTCATGCATCTTTTTACTACAGCAATAATAGCAACCTAAAAGTACACTTCGTTGTATCTTCACTCCTGTATACTAGATAGAAATGCTGGAGCATGATGGAAGCTGATCTATAAACAAGCAATACTTCCCTTAGTAAAATCCTTTGAATATTCTATCCAGCAAAAAATTCCTATGAAAAACTATTTAGTTAGGAAATAACAGGAGGAAATGGTTATCATCATTTCCAAAAGACGACTGAGATGGATAAAATTTTGTGACATGTTCAATCAATCACAAGAACACTCCATTGGTCTCCAGCTGAAAAGGAATACCAACATGGAGAAATGCCTGAATATACAGAACAATTCAGATAAAAAGTATGCAGTTAGCTCCTAGTGATCAATGACGATCGACACTGTCACCGGACAGAAAGGAAGATGTGGAAAGACTTTGTAGTCGCCCTAGACATCATGGTGTGTAATGACCGATGATATGATGATGCTACATATACGAGGGGTGATCAAAAAGTTCGCAAACTAATTGAATAACTCCCACACAAGAAACAATATTTGGTTTTAATGTTGATTATATTTTAAATTAATCCTCCCCGATTTTAATGCACATCAACCACCGTTCTGCGCATGCGCGAATCACGTGATATTGGCGGTCAGGTGACCCCCTCCGTAGCGTTCTGTCACAAAAGTTAAAAGATTTTTTCCGAGTTTTATTTTCTTTCCATGTGAGTTAATTTTTATGACAAGAACAGTAACTTAATTTGTCAGAAATGGTCATATCTCGGCAACAGAGTGGGTGGATAATAACATCCTTTCCAAAAATAAGCATGGCGACCATTAAAACACAAATCTTCTGTCTCAGGAGAGACCTTCATTCAAGGTGGATAGAGAATGGGTGCATCCTTTTTATCATATCTAATATGTTTAAAATCTAAAGTAAACGATATCTTAGGTATTTAATACTTATATCATTGTTCAAATATTCAACTATTTTTCAAAGTGCTAGTTGGAGGTCTTTGATAGCAAATATCTTAATTAAAAATACATATCTTTTCAAACTTGCTTTCACTGGGCAAGATGACAAGTATCATTTTTAACCATCAGCCTTCCTTCACTAAAACGATTAATCCAATCATTAATTGAATTTATAGGAACTCATTTATCTCAATAAACTGTGTACAAATTATTATATGATAATGTAGAGGGATTTATAAGTTATTACAATTAATTGTACAGTCGTTTGTTGAACGAGTTCGACTGAGACAACCAATTTTCGTCACAAGTGACCTAAATAGTGACGTCATTTTCACATTGTGACGTCACAAATAAGAAGAGAATCTTTATTCAGCATATGCTTTTTATAGACCTTGTGTATGGCTATTTGTGTACCGAATTTCTTTCTAATCTGAATTGTGGTTTTGTAGATATAGAGATAGTTTGCGAACTTTTTGATCACCCCTCGTATGTACATTTACTAGTATAACTAAATACACCCAGTCCCATTCCGCATTAAACAGACAAACTAAAAAAACTAATTTTAAGGGTTCTCTATTTAATCAATATGTGTTTAAGTCAAAAGATTTGAAAGTAAGAGTACAGTTGTGTTATGGGGACTGGTCCTGGAGGTCAAACTTCAACTTGGATACTCGCGAAAATCCAATAAGGACATTTTTCAGCAAGGACTATAATATACATGCTCTCTCTCTCTCTCTCTCTCTCTCTCTCTCTCTCTCTCTCTCTCTCTCTCTCTCTCTCTCTCTCTCTCCGAACTACCTTTGTATACAAGGCAGGTATTCCATGGTTGGAGATGCTGAATAGATGATTTAAACTACCGGGTATTCTAACGATGGTGAAAGTATGATTGATTCCGGTATAGTGTTCTTGGAAAAAATTAATGTTTGTATACGTTAATTCGGCAGTGATATGGCAGGAATTTTAAGCAGTGACTGTTCCTAGTTCCTCGTGCTGTTCCTAGAGGTTGTTGGTATGATATTGGGACAGCTATGAGCTGATTTACTACTTTATACATGAGTGTAACATCAGTCCAAATACGCCTCTGTTCTAGGGTGTTCCATTTTAGTTCCTGTATCATACACTAGTGTAGATGTTACACTGTCGGGTTTTTCAGGATTGTAAGGATTGTTGATTATGAATCTGGCTGCGTGCATTATATTTGTTCTAGCTGTTGTCTTCTCTTTTGTGGATTCCATATTGTTATTTTATACTCTAACTTTGGTCTGACTAGGCTCTGATATGCTCTCTCTCTCTCTCTCTCTCTCTCCGCTTGACCTTTGGTGGGCAATATCAAAGGTTGCACTTTACGAATCCCAGCACACTGGAGGCTTTCTTGCAGATGTTTTCTATGTGTAAGTTGTTCTTCAAGTTGTCACTGAGTTCAACTCCTAAGTATGGATGGTGATCTACTATCTCGAGTGACTCCCCCTTCATGGTGTAGTTGAAGGCTTTCTTTCTTGCTGATGTTCTAAACTGCATGATGGCGCAGTTCTTGATGTTAAATTCCATTTGCCATGTGTCTCTCCAGTTTACCAGTGTTTTCAGATCCCTCTTTTGTTGTTCATGGTCTTGATGGCAAAGTACAGGTCTATAGATGACACAGTCATCTGCGAATTATCAAATGGTTGAGGCAATGTTATCTGCATTGTCGTTATTAAAGATCAGAAACAATGTTGGGCTGGCCCGAGCATTGTTCCTTGTGGGACCTCAGATGTTACAGATGTTGTGCTAGATGTTGCGTTATCTACTACTACCTGTTGTTGTCGGTCCTTCAAGAAGTTGTTGATCTATCTTTGCATATTGTTCCCTTGATGCAATAGTATTGTAATTTCTTCGATAGTCTTACGTGTTGTACTTTATCATGTTTATCGAATGCCTTTGAAAATTTCAGTATCCCAAGGTCAACTTGCCTTTCTTGGTTTAAGTGTTTGGCTGTGTCGTCTATTGTCATCAGCAGCATTCGCATGATCTTCTTGCTTGAAATCCATGCTGGTTTTCATGTAGGATGTTTCTTCTGTTTAGATGGTCCATGATCTGAGAGACAATATGTTCTAGCATTTTGGATAGTACAGTTGTGAATGATGTTGTCTATGATTTGCAGGTGTTGTTCTATCATGATCACCTTCTTGTAAATTGGCACTATGTCTGTATTTTTACCAGTCTGCTGGTATTTTTCCTTTGTCCAATGATTTTTGGAATATATACGAGGGGTGATCAAAAAGTTCGCGAACTAATTGAATGACTTCAATAAAAGAAACAATATTTGTTTTCAGTGTTGATTATATTTTAAATTAGTCCTCTCCGATTTTAATGCACATATACCACCGTTCGGCTCATGCGCGAATCACGTGATTTAGGCGGTCACGTGACTCTCTCGGTAGCGTTCTGTCACAAAAGCTGAAAGATTTTTCTGAGTTTTATATTTCTTTCCATGTAAGTTAATTTCTATAACAAGAACAGTTCATTTGTCAGAAATGGTCAAATCTCGGCAACAGATTGGGTGGATAAGAATATCCTTTCCAAAAAAAAAAAGGATGGCGACCATCAAAACCCAAATCTCCTGTCTCGGGAGAGACGTTTATTCAAGGTGGACAGAGAATGGATGCCTCCTTTTTATCATATCTAATATGTTTAAAATCTAAAGTAGTTGATATCTTAGGTATTGATAACTATATCATTGTTGAAATATTCAACAATTTTTCAAAGTGTAAATTGGAGGTCTTTGATAGCAAATTGCTTAATTAAAAACACATCTCTTTTCAAACTTGTTTTCACTGGGCAACATAAGTTTCATTTTTAACCATTTGTCTTCCTTCACTAACACGATCAATCCAATCATTGATTAAATTTATGGGAAGTCATTTGTCTTAATAAACTGTGTACAAATTATTATACGCTACTTCAAAGGGATTTTTAAGATATACCATAAATTTTACAGTCATTTGTTGAACGAGTTCGACTGAGACAACCATTTTTCGTCACAAGTGACCTACATAGTGAGGTTATTTTTACATTGTGACGTCATTCAGCATATGCTATTTATAGAACTTGTGTATGGCTATGTGTGTACCAATTTTTTCGAATCTGAATTGTGGTATTGTAGATAAAGAGATAGTTCGCGAACTTTTTTATCACCCCTCGTATGATATTCCTGGTGTTATGATGTCAACTTTTTGTTTTAAGAATGTGATGGGTATCTTATCTGGTCCACTTGCTTTCTTTTCAATGAGGCGTAGAATACTCTTTCTTACACCTCAGTCCGACATGGTGATATTTCTGGACAGTCTACAAATACAATTGTAAGTTACAGGTACTATAATGGCTTTACCATGATCACTTCCCCTCCACCTTTCGATAAAAAACAGCAGCGTGTTGACTCAGGACCCCTGGCTTGCGAGGATGGCGGGTCCAATATGTTGAAACGCTTTTGATTGCAATCCGTTTACATACGTACACTGTTCATATACTAGAAGCAAGCCTAAAGTAGATTCAATGTATTTTTTATTTTAAAATTTCCCGCTTTGATGCATTTATAGCACCCTGTGACTCGCACGTGATTAGGTAGGCCCCTATTACATAAAGTCAAGATGGCACGTTTTCCAGCTCAGGAAATATTTTCTCTTTGCATATTGGTCGTGTTTTTATTGTTTGAGGAATGTCACGCTCACCTTTGTCTTATAAGTCCTGCACAAAGAGGTTCTCTTGCGGGAATTAACAAAGAAGGTATTAATTAGTCAGTCGTTGCCGGTGGGGAAAAAAATCGAGAGAAACAGGGCTATGAAAAATACATAATAATTTTACTAATTTCAAAATTGTACAACTATTTTTGGGAAATGTTTACAAAATAGATGTAGAGAACATAAACAGAATCAATTTTTAAAGGAGTGAGTAGGAAAGGGCATTTTCTCTAGAGAAGTGGACAGGTTTTCGATTTGTAAACATCCTCAAGGATGCAGGCCAAAGCCTGTGAAGGAAGTGGAAAAGCAATGAAATAAAATCTTCCAAGTTTTACATAGAAATATTTAAGGAATTTCTGTAAAAATCTTCCAATTTCGAAATGCAAAGCCATGATTGGTCATATTTTAAATGGAAGCATCCTCATGTAGTGAAGAAGATTCAAGTTTGGTCAAATCTGACCCCAGGGGTAGGGTGAGCCACAATGGGGGATCGTATTGTTACAAAGGAATATATTGGGAAAACATTAGAAAAGTGCTTCTCAGGAACAGCAAAGCTATTGGTCATATATATATGGAAATATCCTCAAGAAGTGTAAATTCTATTTGTTCAAATCATGATTGAAAATTTTACATATGAATATATATATATATATATGTAAAGGAAATCTTCTCAAGAACAGAAAATCATGTTTAGTCATTTTAATATGGAAGCATCCTCAGTTAGTGTAAATTCAAATATGTTCAAATGATGACCCCTGGGGTCGGGAGAAGACACAGTTTGGGATCCAATTTTTAAAAAGGAATATATAGGGGGAAAAAATATGAAATCTTCCCAAGGACAACAAAGCCATTTGTTATATTGACATGGAAGCATCATCAGTTAATTAGTTTTAAATTCACCCCCACGCAAATTAGTTTGAAATTCACCCCCACGCACCCCCTGTAAACTTTTAATCTGCCTTGCCAGTGTGCTCAGGTGAGTGACTTAGCCAATCAGGAATTATTCACTCATGCACGTAATAAAACATATTTTCCTTTGGGCTTGTCCTGAGACACATTTAGATAATTCTAGCAATATTAAGATTTGTTCTATTTCTATGACAGTTATTTTTATAAGAGCAAATACTGTACAGTTTATTTTTGACAGGTAATGATAACTGCTTCCAAGTTAAAGGACCTTGTGGAAAACTCCCAGAGAGTAAAGATGGTGTTATTGTAAGGTAGGATCCTTTAATAAGTACATGTATTAGTAATTTTCCCCAGCTTAGGTCAATTAAGGTTGACATATCATATGCAAAATGTTATCTTATGTTTCTGCAATTCATTTAGGCATATGTACAATACATATTGGTTAATTGAATATGAATAATAAAAGTCAAAACTGAAGTACAGTCAAACTTCGTTTTCTCGAACCTGATGGGACTAAGAAAAAACTTTGAGATTTCCAAAGATTCAAGATATCAAAGGTAAAATACTCAAAGAGTGTGAGGTTGTTACTTCCAAATCACTTCGACATATCCATGGTATTAGAGATATCGGAGTTCGAGATACTGAAGTTCAACTGTATTTTATTTTTCTTTTTTTTTTCTTCAGACCAGGGCAAATGTTGAGTGTAACATTTCAGAAGAATTTGGACCATTTTCTGAGTTCTTCTCCTGTAAGTATATATTTACAATATACAATATTTCCATTTAAAATGTAAATATATACATGTATTAACATTTACTGTGAAATATTTCCATTTCTAATTTTTTTCTCTTGTGATAACTCTTTGAAAGTTAGCGGAGTTGATTTCTTGATAACTCTGCCGCAATGTAAATTAGGCAGGTCAATAGGTCAAGAGCTAAGGAGGCCTAATATGCATGCAAATCTCGTGCGCATCTGTCTCTGTGTCTGACGCTAAGGAGGCCAAATATGCATGTAAATCTCGTGCGGCTGCCTTTGTGTTTGATGTCAGTGGGCGAGGACTATTGAAAATGGCATGGGAATCCTCGTGTAATTTAAATCTATGTCTACATTTTTAAAGTCTAAATCTACAATTTTATTTCACAATGAAATGGAAATATAAGGGATCACTGTCTAGTTAGTATAGTATGCCAGGGCATCAACAATAGATGGGATCATTTGCATAACGGGCGAATCTTTAATCACTCATTTTCATGGGTGGTTAATTTTTGTGGTTTTCAAGGTATGAAGAGACCCACCAATTTATATCCACCACGAAATGCAATTTTTCACATATATTACTAATGATCAATTCTTCAACCACGATATCAAATCCCCATGAGCCAATATATCATATAAGTAGAATTTTTAGCAAGGATTTAATTTTGGCATTATTAGCGAGGGTGTTGAGATTGCTAAAATTGAATATCGCTAAAAATTAATTGCATTTTATTTGTTATAGCTTCTTTAGTGAGCATTTTAAAATTGCTAAAATTACTTATTGCTAAAAATACATGTAAAATGACAATTTTAAGGACAAATTGCTGAATTTGCATCTCGCTAAAATTTCCACTTATATGGTATTTTCCTCAAACCACGAAAATTTGACCCCTTAAAAATATGTGATTCTACAGTAATTTATTCAAGTCATAGAAAAAAATGAAAACTGCAGTAAAACATACCAATGCATAATTTTAATGTAGAGATAATTAATTCAATATGTAAAATTATTTTAAAATTTTTAGGGTAACTTTACAGTTGGCTTTGGACGTGCCACCACATTTCAGACACTTACTACGATACCAGACAAGGGAGAGAAATCATTGACTCTGTACACAGCTCTGGTGAAAATCCCGTATGTATACAGCTACAATTAACACTGTATCTAAAAAAGTTTATTCTCTTAAGTTAAGCAAATGCTTTATTATTCATGTTACTTAAATCAATTAATATTTTTCAGGCTGGTGAAAGGAAACTATGCTATTCAGGTAAGTTTGATCATTATTGAATATAGCAAGTATGACCAAGAGATTTCATTTCATGTTTTTTATAATGTTTTCCAGATAGTAGAAATTCATTTAGTGCTTTTTCTTATTTTAAGGTGATATACAACACCAATAACCCTAAAGCTCCACCACAGTTTTTCCAGTGTGCAGATATCATGGTAGGAAATCTGTAAAAGTCTGACAGATACACACACAGATGAAGAACATTCCTTTAAGATACTGTTTTTTCTGTCTTAATCAATAATCATTGATCTGTTAAGTTATTATGCTTTTTAGAATTGGGAGCATTTAAATACTGACTCTGTCTTGTGTGATTACCCAAATATATTGTTGATTAAGAGTCTGATATTATTTGTAATACAAACTGTTTACAGTTAGTCTTTGTTATCTTGAACATTGGTAATACTCAAGGATCTGGCAGTCCCAATTACTGTATATATATATATTTTACCCCAATGTTTCAAGTCTTGGGTATTGTGGAGTTAACTCTCAGTCCCTCGAATTTTGAGATATCAAGATCACATGGTTTGACTGTCTGTGGACCTTGGATAGAGAGAGAGCTTCATTTACTTATAGCTGTCAAGTGTCTCAAACTGTATTGAAAGACTTTTGTTTTGTTGATGTACAGTGATGATGTTTGCCCAAGAAATATCAATAGATTCAGATAGAAATACTCATATAAATACAAAGAAAAATTAATTAAACAAAAACAAATTGATCAAATTACATCATTCACTTGGTGAGGGATCGAAATACTGATTTTTGTTCTTGAATATATTTCACTTCTTTAAGGAATTTCAGGGGAATGGAGAGAATATAAATACATGTAATTGTATTACTGTAATATAAGTAATATTAAATTTAACACATCTTAATTTGTATCAAATTAAAGATCTTGAATATTTACATTCTGTACTGCGGTACATATTTGTTTCTTGATGTACATATATGGAGATTCTATTTTCTTCACATTATAGACCCTGTTTTCATTTTTTTTTTTTTTTGTATTTTGCATAATAAAATATCTTAAAACTTGTTTAAGACTTTTTGCTATGTTTATTTTGTTGGTTAAGTAGCTGTCCAGTTAAATAAACAGTCTGCATTTATATGGAAATAAACTGCAGTTATTTGGTAGGATATGAAAATCCTTACTATTTGCAATGAAAACAGAAATAAAAAGCTGCAATATGAATTCAAGAAAAAAAACTGCGTTGCAGTTATTTCTAGTGTAGCAAATTTCATTACAAATTTCACTAAACATCCTTTAGGGATGAATGATTTAAGAATAATTAAAGGAGGATATACCAAGAATCAATGGAGCTTGTGTTTTATTCAATCACCACTATAATAGCAGAACTAAATTTTGTGTTGAATCATCCCTGAAGTGAAAACATAGGTAATCAGAGATTACAGAGCTCACCTCAACGAATGTTGTCTTTAAGTAAGGCAAAGTCACACAATTAACCAACAAAAAGTGTACATCCAAAAATGCAAAATTTATGCAATTTTGATTTGATACTTTGGAATAGACCTATATAAAAACTTCAAACTAGTTTTCCATCATGAAAACGTAATTAAAATCCAGCATCTGAAACAAGTTTGAGAGTTTTCATCCCTTGATGCATCATTTGTGCAAGTTTGGTTTATATAAGCCTTATAGTTTCTTGGTAATAGACCTGCACCCATAACTTTTACAAGGTCCATTATCTGGAAAATGTATGTCGAATTCAGCATCTGAAGCAAGTCCATTAGTGTGCATCCTAAGATGTATCATCCATGCAAGTTTGCTCAACATAGAGCTCAAAGTTACTTGGAAATGAAACCTGTATAAAAAAAACTCACCTTTTCACTAATCCAGAAAATGTAGGTCAGATTCAGCATCTGAAGCCAGCCTGGTAGAATGCACCCTTAGATGTACCATCCATGCAAGTTTGGTCATTATAGGGCCCAAAGTTACTTGGAAATGAATCCTGCACCAAAAACTTTAACCTGTTCATTCGTCCAGAAAATGTTGGTCAGATTCAGCATCTGAAGCAAGTCTGGTAGTATGCATCCTAAGATGTACCATCCATGCAAGTTTGGTCATTATAGGGCTCATAGTAACTTGGAAATGAAACCTGCACCAAAAACTTTAACCTGTTCACTCAGCCGGAAAATGTAGGTCAGATTCAGCATCCAAAGCAAGTATGGTAGTATGCATCCCTAGATGTACCATCCATGCAAGTTTGGTCATTATAGGGCTCATAGTAACTTGGAAATGAAACCTGCACCCAAAACTTTAACCTGTTCACTCAACCAGAAAATGTAGGTCAGATTCAGCATCCGAAGCAAGTCTGGTAGTATGCATCCTTAGATGTATCATCCATGCAAGTTTGGTCACTATAGTGTTCATAGTTACTTGGAAATGAGACCTGCACCAAAAACATAAACCTGTTCACTCATGCGAAAAATGTAGGTCAGATTCAGCACCCGAAGCAAGTCTGGTAGTGTGCATTCTAAGATGTACCATCCATGCAAGTTTGGTCAACGTAGGGCTTATAGTTACTCGGAAATGAGACCTTCACCAAAAACTGCACCAAAAATGTTAACCTGCTCTAAAAACATTAACCTGGTTATTCCTTTGCTGAAATTGCAGCATCTGAAACTTTGACTGGTACAATGAAACACACTAGAAACATCTTCCATGCATGTCTAATCAATATCGGACATAGAAGTACTTAAAAAGAAAACTGCTCCAATAAACTTAACCTTAACCCAGACGCCGACGAGGACGCCGAGGGTATTACATAAGCTCCCCCAACTTCGTTAAGGTGAGCTAAAAAATTAAATACTACTCTTTGCAATGCCTTGATTTGTAATATTGATTTGAAAATATCCTCAGATAGTGTGGATCCAAATCTGTGTTCAAATCATGGCTCTAGGGGGTCAATCCACAATAGGGGATCAGAGTGAAACATAGGGATCTATATGAGAGCAATCTAAAGAATAGCAAAGCTATGATACAGACATAAAGGCCCTATATGGAATCATCTTTGGAAAATGTATATTCAAGTTTGTTTAAATCATGACCCCCAGGAAGAACTGTTGGGCTACATTTTTTAAAATCTTCTCCAGAACATTTTGTAACTGTTAAGACATATCATATAATATCAGAAGAATATACAAAAAGCTTCAGATAGTGTAGATTTATGTTTGTTCACATCATGACACCTGGTCACAACAGAGATCAAAATTTTACAAAGGAATATATTCTGAAGGTGAGCATTGTGGCCCAAAAGCCTCTTGTTCTTATTTATCTCTTGAAAGAGCGGCCTTTCAATTGAACAATACTGAATCCCCTTGATCCAATGGATCCTTTGTGGCAAGTTTAATTAAAATGAGTTTAGCGGATCTGAATAAGACAAAACTGAAAAAATAATGACAATTATTTGCTGCGTTATAACAATGACCATAGATAGACAACAGACAAATGTTGATCAGAAAAGCTCACCTAAAGTTAACAATTATTATTTATTGACTGAGTTCGACGGCAACATGTGTATAATGTCGGACCCAAGAACCAAACTGTGTGTTTGAGGCTGTTAGACTGAAAGCAGACAGTTTGTTTCTCGAGTCAACAAAACACATTTTGCCAGAGAACACATTCAATAAATGTTTTGTTAAACCTTTTACAGTATTTCAATATTTTAATATTTTTGACACATGTGTATCTTGACATACTGTTTAATGGGATATATGTGATAAAAATCAGTTCAGTATTAAAAGGCTTAAATGCTTGAGTGCAGTCCTTGTGGTCCCACCCTACCCAGGGGGTCAATTTGAACAATTTGAACAAACTTGAATCTACACCTCTTGAGGATAATTCCACATAAGTTTCATCTTTCCTGGCCCAGTGGTTCTTGAGAAGAAGATTTTTAAAAGATGCCATTCATGTTTGCTAATTCATAATTATCTCCCCTTGGAAGAGGGCATGGCCCTTTATTTTAACAAATTTAAATCCCCTTTAACCAAGGATACTTTGTGGCAAGTTTGGTTGAAATTGGCCCTGTAGTTCTGGAGAAGAAGATGAAAATAGGAAAAGTTTACAACGAAAATGACAACAGACAAATTTTTATCAGATAAGCTTCCCCATGTCAAAGTGGAAGGTAGTTTGTTGGCAGTCATTAAGCCTTCACAGTTTTATTTTTTAAGTAGTTTATTAGCAGTTCCTTCAGCCTTCCATGTCCCTCAGACATGTTGATTTATTATTCATAAAAATAGTCAGTTCAAGGCAGTTTTTCTTAGCCTTCCAGTTTTCAACCGGTACTCGAGCAGTTATTTTCAGCGAAATATTTAAATGAGTTTAGAAAAACTGCTTGAAACCACAAATGACTGCTTTAGAACTGCTACTCCATTTCCATATATGGTTGTGTCTGATGAATATTCAAAGCAATATGAAGATGCTGAAACTGGTACACAAAAGTACAATTTTAAATTGAAACCCTGCCAAAATATGGCTGAAATATTGCCATTAAACTTGGCATGAAACAATAATAATATATGAAATACAGTTAAACAGTAAAATTGTAAGTTAATCATTTATCAAATTTTCCAAAGTCTGAATTCCAGTTAAAAACAGCAAAATTTAGAAGTACACTAGCAAAAATCCTTAGCTAAATGTATAATTTACCTAAACAATTTCAAGTAATACTAAAATTAATCAACAATTTATCACAAATTTAAACAAGCAGCAAATTTTAACCAAGTCCAATTTCTC